TACGATGTTGTGGTCAGCAGTCGAACTTGGAACCACCTGACCAGAAGTCCCAAAACTACATCTCGTATCTGGTACTACTTCGCCTAGCGAGACATAAAACTCAAAACTTCGAACTTAGCAGTTCCAGTCGCTTATATGCACACAATTGATGAAGAGAAATCTAGTATAATTCCAGAATAATAATTTAGAAAAGAAAAAAATCTAATTTGTAAGTAGTATTTGTAATCTTTGGAACCGCAAGTCGGATTGCCAAAATTCTTGCCATTGCCAAAATGTTCCTGGGTGCTATAGGCTATAAAACATCACGCTACGATCAAATTTAGCCGAGCAGCGGGTGAAACCGCGCGAGAGTAGCTAGTTCTTAACATAGTGAGCGTCAAAAATGCATTGCACTTTACCAATGCTAGTGTCTAATTTTTTTATGCTGTGGGCCAGATGTTCCTTTACTGATTAATTTATTGCATAGATTCTGAAACTGAATAAATATTTAGAAATTTGTGTTACAAAAAAGTTATACACATTTTCACATTGGCCGAGTACAATTGCACTTTTGACCCTGGACCGTACATTTGTTTACTACGCTTTCATACCTAAATCTTTTTGGAAAAAAAAGTACACACGAGAATATGGTAATCAATCCATTTCATAACAACTAAAGCCGAATATCTTTCAACTGACAGAGTATTACTATACATAACACTGCATTATTTAGCAAAACATTATAATAATATCCCAGTACGAACGTTAAATAGATGCTTATATTTTTATTTAAGATTGAAACCTGTACTTTGGTCTAATAATAATTATATTCATTACCATACTTTTCTACTTTGGAGTGGATGTATCTATGGACTGAACTTTTTTCTATGTCTAGACAGTCTGTCGCTATGAAGGATATAAGTAAGCCGTGACTCGTACCTACGACTCAGGGCTTAGGTACTCGAAATGAAATATACATTTCATTTTTCTCGATACGTTTTCGCAACTATTATAAAATTGAACCTTATTAAACACTAATACAATCTACATTTGCATGCAATTCACTATGACCGACCGACACGCGAGTCGGCGAGTAGCAGCGCGACGGTCGCCGAGTCGCGTGTCGCGGAATGCTGCTCATGAATATGGGCCTCTAGCATGGCATGAAACTAGTCGAGTATCTCGTCAAATTATTACGTGAGTAAGCCGAAAACATAATAAATGCTTTGTATTTAGAAAATAATGGGCATAAACAATTTAAAATACAATAAAAGTTTTTTAAATACAAACTATTGTATGTTAAAGAATTTGAATAAAGCCATATACCATAGCATTTATGGTCATCGATACAAACCAAACTTTTATCTTGAGTGCATGCATGAGGGTGCGAGTTCGAAACCTGACAAGTAAAAATGTAACAACCTGACAAGTACCAATGCAATACCTACCTAACAAGTACCTACCTTTTCCGAGATTATTTAGACACCACTGACAACGGTGCAAACGTCGATCGTGAGGAAACATGGACATATAGTTTCTAATTATAAGTTTAAAATTACCAATCCGCCTTGAGCAGGCGTGGTGAATAATGCTTTTCTCCGTGTGAGAAGAGGCCTTAAGTAGGTACCTACTTATAAGTTAACGTGATGATGTGACGTAAATAAAACTAAACTTAAAAAAATCATAATCGGATAAAGAAATCTGGTTTAAAATTGCACGATTCATCTTCACATACGGATATACATTGCAAACTAATAGGAGTTTACAAAACAAAACCTAACTTCTGACATATATTTCTAAATAAATATCTAAATAGTAGAAACACAATTAGTAATATATTTACGACATCAATAAATCTGTTTATATGTAGTAAGCCTTATAAAGCAGACACATTCTACGGCCTTGTTTAAGCTACTGTAGTTAAAAATAAAATAAATTCACTTTTGACAGCTTTTTATGTAATCTACATATATCATATATCATTTTCTTAATAGTTATTGAGCTAATGTACAAAAAAGACCACACCAAAGTTACGAGATAAATATATTTTTAGATATAAAACTTATTGCTATAATCATATTTATACATGAAATGAGGATACCAATTGCAGGAGAACTCCACGCTAGGGCACGAATGGGCCGGCTCAACTGGACTGATACTACCTACTGCATCACCAAAAATCGTCCAGAGTCAAAACACTTATGATTTGCCGTGTGAGTGGGGTTACCGGAGGCCCAATCCTAATCATATCTTTAAATTCCTAATAACTCCAGTTGTAGTAAGTCCTTTGGTATTACGAGTGCCCATGGGCGGCGCTGATTGCTTACCACCAGATAATAACTTTCAGCTTGTTGGCCGATCTAAAAAAGCTGCTCCAAATCCGATTTAACAATCTTAATAGAAAACTTTATAATAATTTTTCAGGTATAAGAACTGACGTGGAGTTTCCTTTTCTTTCATCCAAGTATGATGTATGTACTTGTTCCATTTAAAGGAGCATTTAAATACGTAAATGACTTCGTAACATAATCGTTGCAAGTGCAAATAAGGATGGTAAAATTACTTCAATTTGAAAGTTTATATATTATAACTGTTCTGAACAAATGTTCCAAAAATACATTCATGGCTTTTTTATATAGGAAAAAATACAAATGCGAAAATTAAAACAACTTTCAACGGAATATAAATTAAGTGTAAAAATATTTTTAGCCATTGTTTGCTACTATGCGTGTTTTAAAATTGGAAAGCGTTTTTTATCTTTTTTTAATACTATTGTTGGCCATAATATACGTGCTCAACCTATTTTATAAGTACTTAGTGGTCAATTAAAAATAGCTTTTTACATGAAAAAAGTGATTTGTATTATGGACTGTAGGATGTTAAATGTATAAATTAAATCACTTTATTAATTAGTCGGTTTCATTTAATGTGTAATACATATCGAAATAGACGGTACGCATCGAAAATTGTGAATTGAAGTCAAAGTTAACCGGAAAATTATAAACATGACATGTATGTGAAATGTTGACTACTGAAAACATTGACTTAATCATAACTGAAAATGATAAAAGCGTTCACCGTCGAAAGTCACGTGGAATGTATAAAGCCGTGTATGGTGACAGTATAAAGTAGATTAGATTTTTTACTTGTCGTACTATAAGTATTTTAATTGATAATTAGAATTAATTTTTATTTTATCCTTACTTAACGAACGCCTCAGAATTAATTATTATTTCTTCGTATAACAATAATATCTAATTACGGTTTTGTTTTTCTTAAATTTCGAATGTAACTTGTAGAACATTTTATATGGGAACGAAAATGTATGTAGCATATTTGTTATATGTGTTCATCCAGTCTATAAAATCTTTATGCCAGATTTCATTTAAATCCGTTTAATCGTTTTTCTTTCTATGCATCTTACAGGAAGAGGTTCTACCAATAGATGATATATTAAGTAATAAACGATGATAGATCAATTATAAATTAATTTATTCTAGATTCTAAATTAAAATTGAAAGGGTTGATTTTCGCTACTCTGATCGAAAGTCAACCCTATTTCGGTTTAATTATTTCTCGGTAAAATCCTCGAAAAATAATTGTCATCTTCTCTTTGAATTAGCTCGATTAGCATATTGAAGAATTAACTTTTCACTGTTGATTTTTCATAACTGTTTTAACGAAATTAGAGTTATTCAATTTCAATGTTATTTACGTAGACACTTTTTTTGTACCTTTTTTATTCGAAATGTTCTACATTCCCTGGGGCATTCCTATTGCATTAAATTTACAAATGCATACTTCAGATTGTTACGTACAACATTATAGGCATATGTGTGTAGCTAAAGCTACACAGTTGCCTTAATAAAATATTCTGCACACTCAAGCTGAGTATGTACATGTGTGTATACATGTATACAAGTACATAATATAATCCCATTGTTGCAAACTTGTGATACATGAACAAAGGTTTGCTGAACGTCAATTTAGCGAAGTCTGTTACTGCTACGCTTTCGTAGCAGATAACCACCGCGCTACGAGCTACGAGCACAGTACTACGAGCTTTTCTCATTCGGTTCAGCAACATTTCAGTGCACGCATCAACTTTGTAACTTGTACAACATGAAACGTTTATAGCTACACCTAGTTTGAATTTAAAATAAGGAATTAATCTGTTTTAATCTGAGAGTTGGAAACAAATCATAGTATTTTCCCATACCTTTGTTACGTATATAACAAAATCTCGGTTATGTTTAGCTAATGAGGAAAAAAATTCGTTACTGTAATTTATTTTATAAATCTTTTTGACATTATCAAACAGGATCAAGTGTACAAACAGATATATCCATTTCAAATCAGACGATATGAATAGGCGTGTTGTAGAATTAATCTACGTAGAGCTGTCTGCGAAAAAGGTAAAAAAAAAACAATAATATATTATGGACAAAATTTATTTAATAAGTCTTACTTGTGGTTTAAAGTACTATTTACAAGTCGTAACATTAATTGTAATACTTATCTATAATGAACAATGAATTTAACATTCATTGCTGTAAATCTAAAGCAGCGTTTCCACTTCGTCAGGTATTGAGTTTAATGTACTACATACGTTGTAAAATGTCTTATACGTTAAAGTATAATTAAACATGGCTGCCAGAGTATAAACACGCTCCCTACCCGAGGACGTAGAAACGAGCAAGAAAATTAAATCTGATCAAATATCCATATGGCATATAAGTATTTATATTTCCACTTAAGTACTTCAAATATCATAACTATTTATTGTAAATTACAATATGTAATTGTAAAAAAAATAACTATTTACAAATATCGATGGTCATCATTCATTTTGTTTTTCAATTTATTTTAAAGTAATATATTTGTCTGTGTTGCTTTTTGTTTTATTCCAATAAAATCGGCGAAATAATGTAGGCAGTGTTTATAATCATGGTTATAAATATCAAATTATTGAGCGTTCAGTTGGAGGTTTTTGTAAAAGCTGATTTAAATATATATCTGATGGCAGACTAAAAATAGATATTAATATTCAATTTATACAACACAAATAAAAAAGCAGCCTTTGTTGATCTATAAAAAGAAAAATCGAAATGAGACGGAAAACTGATCGAATCAAAAATCGATTCATTTTGATGAATTGCAGTCATTACGGACGTGGACGTTTGTCAAAAGACTTCCATTATTCGCGGCGTGTATTTATTGAGATTCAATAGGTTTTACATAAACGTGAATGCGGCGGTGAGAGCATGCCTCTATAACCATTAATAGAATTTCCTTTTATAACCGATCGCTGCTGCCAACTCTATGCACGCATTACAATATTTTTTCACCGATCCTATAACGGCATTTAAAAAAGTACCGTTTTTTTTACTGAATAAATGAAATTTGAGGTTTTTACATGTCCCTACACTAATTGAAGTAATTGACAATTTATAAATTTTACAGTGATACAATGAATACCTGTGTTTACTACAACCATTGAACACGTACACAGACGGCGATTTTGAACAACAAATCAACAAATAAATTTATAAATAAAACTGCCATAATACCATTTGAAAATAACTATTACAAAAAATGAAATTATAAATCTTAATTGTACAAGTTTAACATAATTTATCTATTTAAAAAAAACATGTAAAATAAAAAATTGAAGATTCATTTTATTAAGGTGGGTAATTTCGTAATTTTAATCTAAATGAACTTATGATCACAACAAAATTGATGGTTCTTATGAATCTGTATTTTAGGTCGAAAATTGTGTCAAATACATTAACGTCTAAGTTCTAACCTAAAGAACAAGCTCGGAGTGATGCTATTACCTAATTACGAAAGATTTAATTCAATGAACAGCAAACTGTATTATTGTATGAATAATAAAAATATACATAATTCATAATTGTATAAATCATTGAAATAAACGAAACTCAAAATCTCGTGTTTCTTATTTAAGTAGTCATTCATAATATTGATAAAGTAGATTGGCACTAAACAAATAGCTAGCAAATAATTCTAGGACCATTAATTAGACGTTTAAAATAAGCTTAAAAAAGCGACTTTACAAAACATAATAAAAACATTAACTGCTTTGATGTTTGGGGACAGATTCTGCTAAAATGCAGGCACCTCACGTAGGCCGACTCTGTCCTACCTAGCGATGCGACTAGGCTGATTACAAAAAATACTCTAAAACTCTCCAGAAAGTAAACCATAGCAATAATAAGCTACTAAATAATTAATCAGCTGCATTTTATAAATTCGACCACAACTACCTGATACAGAATATTTATCTTCATACTCACGATTAATTCCCCTAACTATGGGAATTATATAGGCAGTGATAGCAATTATATCGTTACAAACAAGGACAAAGGGACTGTATTCAATACACCACGAAGGTTTTTTGTCGCAGACAGATTGAAATAGCAATACTTTCGAAGACGAATAACACAAAACAAATCATGTTTTAATAAGGCTATAAATATTGTTTGTATAAACAGCAATTTGGATTCATGTCCTGTAATGTTTACTAGGAAATAGGTAATACATTAAAGGTCACGAACACACGATGTAAAATATTACACAGACATGTCCCCGATACTAGTATGACAGTCTTTTGTCGAAGGCTATAGCCACGGGCCTCGAGTAAAAAGGGTTGGCTAGCAAAGAGGAGATTTGGCTTTCATAGTCCTCCGCCCTAGACAACCCATACGCTTACAAAATACACAATGGTGTAAGTACTATCTCAATGAACCCCACTCACGCCCCTGGCTACACCCTATACATTTATTTCCTTTAATATTCTAAATCATTACATTTACTAGATTTTGAGCTCCCATCAAAATCTAAAATCTCATTATTACTAGAAAAGAATAATATCAAGATTTCGAAAATCCGTACAGTCAAATATAAACATTGACATAACACGAGTGTATATTTACAATTAATATAATCAATATATACCTTAGCACTTTACTTGTGAAACCAATAACATCCTCATAATAAATCTTATTCTATTAAAGGTCTGAACTTGTCAATGTTTCAATAAACACATCATTGTGATGAATGCTGATTATTTCAATTTCCGTCAGACGTATAGAGTTTATGAGACTAGAAATTACCAAGTGACACGAGGTGAGATCACGCTGCGAAATAATGTATTTTATTTTCAAATTGTTCAATACAAATACGAGTAATTCGTGTGAATGCTGGAACATTAAGATAATTATACTAATCACTTGAGTGTCACTTCGACGAAATTAAGGCAGATACGTAGAAGGTTAATAATTTTTCTACAAATACCATTTTAATATACAATGAAACGTAATTACGGTCGTTACTAAACAATGTTCAGGGGGAGGCGTAATCTTCCCCCATCAGTGCAATTCATACAGAAATTTTGTCCATTACCAGATCAAGTCTTAAGGCCGCGTAACAAGGAATTTGAGACTTCGACAAGATTATTTTGGCTCGGAATATTGCTTGGAGATTTAAATCTGCACATAATTTCTTGTCCAAAAATGAGGTCTCGTAAAATGTGGCTTGGAAGATATTAATGGATTTGTATATCTTATCTCGTTATTAATTTTATTCGGAAACAAAGCTGGATGTAAAATATCAAATGTTTGTCAAATTTAAAATGAATATTCGAGGCGCAGATCGTGTGCGAAGCGTTTGACGACCTCTGTCATGTCAAATGAAGGCTCCTTAGTTTCAGTGCTCGTAAACTCTACGAACGTGCGTTACACATACTAAGTCGTACACCCTAGCATCACAATTGACAATGTCGATAATGATCACTATTCTACACTTCGATGATTTATTTACACCACTCGCACCATACTTGCATCAAGTCAATAATAAACCACATTTACAAAATATGAGCTATGGAGATCACATATCATTCGTTATTGATCGAAACCTTAGTTCCGAAATTTATTTGAAAGAAATTTACTTATAAGAGAAACAAGAGCTTACATAATACATTCTATCGCTTTTGTACCAGTTCATCGCGACAGACAGGTATTTTAATTTAAGAACTAAGCGATTTTATGGCAACTTCCTTATCTTAAATACCTTTGTATTGTTTACGAGTACCTCTTGAGTTATAACTAATCATAATATAAAAATATTGAAACAAGAACAGTTAATCCAGATTTACTGCGAAGGTAAAACTAGAATATAACCATAATATTTCCTTTACAACTGGTTTAAAAGGCAAACTTTAGTTGTTTTTCTCTAAATATTGCCTATAAACGAAGCTCAGTGAATTTAATCATTCATTTTCTGTTGAATTAAAATGACAGTGACTGCTCAAACTGAAAGCAAATTAAATCACCTGTTAATTAGGCAATTTGGTTTCCGTTTTACAAGTTAACAACTTTTAGTCCCACGTCACTCGCGAAGTTTCTAAGTCCGTCACCACCGACTTATTTCTAGTTCATTTTCCTTCCCTGTATAAAAATATTTTACTCGACTTTATCACAAAACATGTATTGTTCACACGCACTAGCTACACTTAACTTGTTATCGTTGTAGTGCAACAGCTGCGCAACACTGATGTATCTTCACAACTTCACTTAGTTTCACGCAGCCGTTGCCCTTGAACTTGGTGGCAATGAGAGTTCATGGGGTAACAAGTAAACGGAAGTCAGGGGCGGACTCGGGGGCCCACGCGACACGAGCACGGTCGTCGGCAGCCGAGCGTCACACGCGTCGGCCATCTTACAGCCGTGTTCATACGATGATCTCGCGGATGACGCGGCGTGCGCGTGAGTTCGGTGTCGAGTAGCCAGACTCCAGCGACTCGTCGTAGCCCAGCGACATGTGCAGCGGCTTCTCCTCAGCGCCGCCCTCCTCCGCGCCACCGCGCATGCCGTACTCCGGCAGACCACTCACCTCATGGTACGGTGATTCTGGTGAACAAAACACATCAGGTCTGGTGTCAGCTGTTAAAATATAACTAAGTTTTTCAAGACGAAAGCATGCAATAGTATGGAAATATAAATATAAACTGGCGCCTTACAGGCAAAAATTAAAACAAAAAACTGAAGCACACAGGAATTCAACTTTCTTTCAAACTATTCGTCCGTTGCAGACGTACAAAGGCGGTATTATTATTTATTAACGTTAAATTTAAAGGATCCTTATGGTGAACACGGCAGACTCATCATTCTTATACAGGTCAGATTTTCGTATTAAAATTACTGGGTGTAAGGTGTTTTTACGTAAAACTCTTCTGCGCAACGCAGAGATTAGGAAATATAATTTTCTATAATAATAGTAAACAAACATAAAAACCGTTTAAAAATAAAAATATTTTGGCACTTTTTTAGAACCGCCCTTTTGCAGAAGTGCGGGTGTAAGGTCATTAACGCGCAGCCTTTACGTCCCTCGAAAATTTATAGAAGTAATTTATGGTCAACTTTTCACAGGAGAATAAAGTCTTGCCTCGAGTAGCAAATGTTTGCATTGTGTGCGTGACTATTGTTGTATATTATAGAAATGCTTACCGATGTGTTGATCCATCCGTTTCTTGGGTTTGTGTACCGAGGCGTATGGATCGGAGCAGTACTCCTGCCGCGAGGGGTTTTGTGCGGCGCGCATGTCGTAGTCATTGGTGGCTGAAGGCTGGCTGGCGTGGGGTAGGTGCGAATAATGCGCGTAGTCATCGATGTTCCTGTAGCCTGCATGAGATATTGGGTCGTAGTCGTAGTTGCTCTGTCGGTCGAGCACCTGGTGCGCTGGTAATGTCGCCGCATTATTAGCCGCCGCCATCTTCATCTGCCACAGCGAGTCTTGCGAGTTCACGCTACCCCCGTTGTTACTGTTCGTGTAGCTATTTTCTATGAAGCCCATGTTTACCCCTGTGAACAATCAACTTATTTAATTTGGAATCCCACAAACACGAGAGATTTAAACGCGACATGCAAAACGTGCTTTCCAGATATATGTTAGTTTTACCTTCTATGTCGATTGCAGTTAGTCCTGAGTGATTGCATATGAGAAAAATAAATAAACGTGATAAGGTCGAAAATCGAAATAAAATGATATAATTTCTATTAAACGTTAAACAAAAGTGAATAAAAGTAAAATGATGTCTTTAACTCATGTAATATGAAACTAATAATGGATATGAGAATTGATATTTTAAACAAAATATGTATACTCACAGTCGGAATTAGGCATGGTTTGTCCAGGGTGAGGTTGTGTGTGTGGTGGAACATGGTAGGAGTAGCCGCCTTGGGTCGCGTACACAGCAGTTTTGGAGTCGTCCATTGACAGCGCCATGTCCATCGAATGTTCTAGAGCTTTATTCTCCATACCGGAGCTAGGGTAGTACGGGGGCGGGGCCTGGTTCTGTGGTGTGACTTTAGCGGGTCTCATTGAATCCATTTCGTAGTCTTTGGATCTGTCCTTCTTGTTAGGCCTGCGCCTGCACTGGTAGATCAGCAACAATAGTCCCACAAACAGGAGAACTACAACTGTCGTGACGAAAATTCCAACAATGGCGGCGGTAGTGCGCGCCGATGTCTCTTTGATGTACGACGTACCGACTGTTTATAGAAAAATATTAATTTAAACATCTCTCAACACATACAGATATCAAATATATGTAACAGTTTAAACTGTAAGTAATATTATCCGGGGAGACTTTATATTAGTCCAATGTCGAAAATATTTGATATAATTATGCTGTGTTAATGTTTTACACAAGGTCTTACTTTCAGCTTCAGTGTAGTCACTGCACACGTCTTGGTTGACTTGTAAACAAAGCTTGAGTCGTATGCGAGGGTTGAAGTCGTCTAGCGGTGGGTCAGTGACGTGTCGAGTACTCGTGCGAGTTGTTTTACTGGGCAGCTCGACCGTAGCTTCCTGCACAGTCGCTACTGCGCCAGACAGTCGAAGGTTCACAGTATCCACTACCTGTTATACAGTAAATTATATTAGCTTTATGTTCTCAGTTCCTAATCTAATGTCAATAATATTTCTCCCCCGCAGACCACAACGGAGTTAACGGATTTATAGCCTGGATAAAAATTGAAGACATCTTCCCTAGTATCGTGCAAAGCACGTACGCTATTTATCATTATTGTCTAACTATATATCTGTATATTACGTCCGATTCCATGAACTGAATTTATTTGATGTGTCTAGGTACTCCGAATATTGGCAAATATAACTTGATAAAACATGTTTGTATTTTACTGAAATGTTCACATTCAACGTAAATATTGCCAAACCAACAATTGGCTAATATCGCTAAAATCATTAACTTTTCACTGCTTGGATATTCGTATAATTATTTTACTAAGCCGGCCCACTAAGTTAGCTCTCAGCATAAACTTCAACGTAGCTTGTATTTTCATTCACATTCTGCTCTTAGTAGTAATTATTCCTTGGACAGAATGTCTGGAATTTTGTATCCCTCCGGTCGAATCTAATGGCAAACGCATTCCTCGACTGGAAAGCATAGTTCGTTGGAGTTGGAACAGATGAATATTATTTTCTTAATGAAGACGTACAGCCATTGATGCGGTTTCTACCATCCTGTCTACTGTTATAGAATAGAACGAGACGCTTGACACGTTTCAAATAAATTCAATATTATATTATCCATTGTTCGTCTTCTATCTAAAATAAAAACTGCTGAGGTATCATTGCTTGGATCCTAGTTAAGCTTGTTCTAAAACTAATTTTCAAGTCGTGCGGTGCCAAGAGATATATTTAATGGTATTTTATTGCACCGGTGAACAGAATGGAGTCGAGAACGAGCGCCAATAAACTGCAATTGTATTAATGCACAATCCAGTTCCGTGCACGTGACATTCTTTCCAACTTCTCACAAATCTATTTACTTGTTACTGTGTCATTAAAATACCTGAGTAAGTACACAATACACTGTTCAGTGTTATTCTTATATAAATTGCACTATACTAAAAGAATAATTAACAATATATAAAGCCACACATTAAAAGCCAGTACACAGATGTGAGCCGACATTCAAGAATTGTGAAGGTGTGTTGTGCAAAAGATTGATATTAAATATAAAAATAAGGTAAATGAGTGGGTAGATTGGTGATAATTACCTGCCATCCCGCGGTACCTCCCATATTGGCGAGTCCTTCGACGACACCCACTAACGCGAGGCAAGTAGGAGTCACTGTGAATGCTATCGCCTGTGTGCTGGGGTCATAGGTCACTTGCTCTGGTGGATTGATTTTGTCCACCTTCGTTGTCACTGTGATCTCATTCGAGTAATTGCTCTGTCCCTTAGTATTTACCGCTTTCACCTATAGTTGAAAATTCAATTTAAAACCTCGAAGTGGCGAACGAATCGATTGTGAGCATTCTAAAGCGTGTCGAAAATCATAGCGACGGCACAAAAAGTTAAGAGAACTTAAATAAACTAACGGCACGCGCCGGATGATTTACCTTGAAAACAAATGTGAGTTGCTGTCGGTAGCGATAACAATGAAAAACAAAAATGTAAGTTAATACCGTATTCGGGACAAACTCTAACCAAACAACAAGTTCGTACAATGACTGGAGGGACATTATATCTCGAACCAAAGTTGGGCTTTATGCTAGTGATGGACCGAAGCTGTTCATTTGTCGAAACAGAACCGCAACCGAAGCCGAAAGGTATACGGAACTCCAGTTACATTTCATGTGTCGGGATGAGAGTGACAGGTTAGCCAATGTTATTGTGGCGCTATCATTCAGTTGTGTTGATTTCAGGCTCACGCCCACGTTTCGTTTCGTTCAGCGGTTCACAAAAATTCTCTCTACATATTTCAGTAAAAACGAATGTCATAAAATGTTATTATTCAGTCCATCACTATGAATTGCCCTAAGAAAATTGGTCTACATGAAAATTGTATCTACAAATACCCCAATTTATACAACATTTATGAGATTCAACCGTGTTATTATGTACGGCTCATCACTATGTGTTACCTAGTATAAGTACATACTACATAGTACTATAATACTTTTAATGATGGGACTAATATTTGTAAGCGAAATGAAACATGAGTTTCTATTTTCTGACAAGACAACTAAGACTTTTTATATGCTTTAGTTTGAATACTTCGAGGTTGTCTTACCTTGAAGGAGTATGTGTTGTGTTGGTCGAGCCTGGTGACGTTGCAGGGGTTGATACGTCCGCAGTCGTACTCCATCCAGTCGTACTCAGAAGTTCGGTCGGAGGCGCAGTGCTCGGAGCTGGCCGAGGATCCCGTGCCACGGAGCGACTCGCGTCGGTAGCGCACGAAGTACTTCGTGCTCGACAAGCCGCCATCAAAGCCAGCTTCCCATTTCAAAGTCACGTACGTCGGCCCCACCTTTTGACTCTCTAAGGCTCGAGGTGACTCCGGGGCGCCTTTGGGCTGTAACCTTATCTGAGGACGTATGCTCCCCAGTGAGTTCTTAACTTTACAATAATAATCCCCATAGTCTTGCGGCTTCACCATTTTTATTTTTAACACACTGCGGTAAGAGTCGTTGTTGTCTGTCGTAGTATTAATTTCGTAATGTCCGTCAGAAGACATTTGCAGTGGAGCTGTGTTGGACCCGTAGAACCATTGGAATTCTGGTTTCGGGTAAGCTTGAACTCTGCACAATATTTCGGCACTTTCCATAACATCGTAAGCGACTTTATTCTGTTGCCGAATTGATATTGGCTCGTCTGCAATAAGGAAAATACGTTTAGCAACAAAATAGTTAGAAAAATATGTTAATATAAATATTTCATTCTTATTAACTTCCTTTTACATAAATATTCCCCGTATACAGTTAAAGGAAGAGAAAATGTAAAGAACATTTTATAATTAGTTCTGTGAGATGAACATTTTTGTTTTTTATTTACTTGCTCATTAAAGTTCAAGATTCCAGTGTATACAATATTATTACACCATACTTACGTTCTATTCGAAGATGCATCGTAGACTCAACTTTCTTTACTTCGTTTTCAAAAGCACAGGAATAAATACCCCGATCGTCGGGCAATAAGTCATTAGTATTCGGTCTCGCTTTGCCGTTAAATTTAAGAGTGCTTTGAACTGTGTAAACGGCGTTCCTGCTCTCAGTTATATCAGTTTTAACTTCGTACAAATTCGTATCGGCTTTAATTTCAGCGTTGTCCTTGAACCACTTGACATTAGGTCGCGGTTTGCCTAATGCACTGCAGGTGACCGAGAAGTCCTGCTCTCCCGATCGCTTCGTCATGTGTGTTTGTAATTTAGTTTGGAAACGAGGCGGCTGATGAACCTCTAATGTAACTGAAGCAAGTTCGCCATGCCCTAATTCGTTAGTAGCTTGACAATGGTAAACACCTTCACTTCCAAGGTGTGCACTGGGGATAGAGTATTGATTGCCTGTTGCTAATACAGCAGGCTTGACGTCTGGGCTAGTGTCCATGTCCCGGAACCAGCGGTACTGCGGAGCGGGCCAGCCCGGTGGCTTAGCGCTACAGGTAAGAGTGACTCCCGCGCCCTCCTGGGCCACTGGCCGGTCAGGGCTGATATACGCGCGGCCAGGCTTGTGTCTCACCAGCACAGCTACTGACGCACTGTTGGACCGCTCAGTACGTTTGCCGTTGCTGGATGATATAACATTGACAGCGCGACAAACATAAGTACCAGCCATGTCCGCATTCACTCTTGTCAAACTGAGGGTGTTTCCACTCTGATGAAAATCGGGTTTCCCCTCCATCGTCCAATCAATAGACGTAGGTTCAGGATTCGCAGAAACTTCACAGCGGATTTCGACGTTTCCACCTTCCTCGGCCTCGTATGTTTTTGATACCACTGTGACACTGGGAGGGAAGAGAACATCAAGATACATCTCTTTCTCCCCGGGACGGCCTAAGCCGTTGTCAGCACTACACGTGTATTTTCCTGCATCCTGCACCGTTACTCCTTGTATAGTATGCGTGAACGAATTCGAGATATATTTTCCGTTTCTAGTCCATTTCACGGAGGTCACTTTAGGCTTAGCGTCGACTTTACATTCCATGGTAGCGACACCGTCTATTTCAACTCGCAAGGGATTTTCTGGAGCAACTTCAACTCGAGGAAAATCTAAAACAAATGATAAGAAAATGTTATGAACAAAATGTTTGTATGCAAAGTATACTGCCGTGAATAGAACCGCAAGGAACATTTACGCCTCACGTGTTGCGTGTACATCTGACGATAGTTCGCAGACTCAACATTGTACGAAGGAAGCGGATATGCTGGTCCGATTAGCTATTCGAAGCATACCAATAATAAATGTGTTTACAGAATCTGTCAGAATTAAAACATGCACTGGTGCGCATTCACGGTGCGTGTTCTTCATCTGGTGAAAGACGTTGCTTATTCAGGTCAGCTCATAATAAACAATTTCCAGATGCTGCTAGAGAAGCGAGCATCAAAACGATGTTATCATTTATCGTTTCTGTTAACTTTTTATTTCAATTGCGTAACCCAATTTTCGATCACTGAACGCCGACATACGGCTGCAGTAGCATTTAAAAGATCGAGGTGAATTAAAATAATACGTGAGTTCAATGATCTTTTCTAACCCTAACATTTTGTGTTTAACGATCACAACAATTATGTCATGCACTTACAGCGGACTTTTGGAAAAGTGCCGAGTGCGACTTCGTTGTACGTTGCTCTTTTTATCTCATCTTGTTAATAGTTCCTTTACAACGATGTACAACCTAATTGAATTACTATCTACTATCTGGATGTCACTTTAATTTTTCGCTTTGTGAACTTAAACTTTTATAGATAATTCTAAAAAGGCTTTGTGTAGTCTAAAATATAAATACAAGCTTAGAACAGAGATGTTTTTGAAGCAATCAAGGCTGAGCGCAAAAAAGCGCAAAGCCTAGAATTTTAGAAAGCCTGCTTCTTTTAAATTCTGGTGCTTCCTGTCTTTAGGAAAATCTTTCAACAAAACCCGAAAACGCTCTGTTATATCTTTGAAGTATCTAAATATTATATTATTATACCCTGGCGATGTTAAATATTTCTAGTTGGACATTTTTGACCTGTTTAACTGACTTCAGAACAGAGCGAGAAATACTGAATTAAACTATTTTTTAAAGTCGCAATCACGACGAATATTCCATTCTTTGTTATTGTGTTAAGTTATTTTATTCGAAACAATATCTTCTCATCGTTGTTGTAAAGTTAGTCCAATATCCTCGGCCCCTTTGCTGTACCTAATTGTTGGCCCAAGTATAACAAACAGGAAAGTTTTTGTCCGCTGGCCAGTTCACCTGGGAAACTTTCAATTGCGGGATTTGTCTTAACGTGTGGGCCGGCCTAAACTAACTGGAACAACTACTAATGCTACTAGCTCCACACCAAACTGTTACCTGCTGAAGTAGATACAACAGACGCCTAAATAAATCCACGTACAAGAACCCAGATTAAAATTAAATGGCCATTTTAAAATGTTTTTGTATTTTTCCATTAGAAGTTTCTCAGAAACAGGCCTGAGGCTAGATGCCCTTTTAATGGTAACAGAATCATCCCCCATTACATGGGCCGCGTGACATAATCTAGCGAAATGTGGGTGTGTGTGTGATACAATTTTGATTATCCATTCGGGAATACAAGCGCGGTTACTTAAAAGGTCTGATATTTTTTAAATGAGAAAAGGCGAGACAAAAGTATGCTGAAATAATTATTTTGTTTTAGGTTGAGCGTGACAAAATGTAATTTTTATTTACAATATTTTTGTTTCACTCAATTATACTGATATACTATTTTTCTAGCCCGGTTTTAATAAGACCAATATTGAGCATGATTTGTCTACCAACATATAGCACAAGGCACCTATATGAAGGCTGAAATAAATGGCTAAGAACATTCATAGAGGTGTATTTGCTCAGTAGGGTCATGTAAATAATACCAAGCAGGATTCCATTCCCGAGGTAGCGGGAGCAAGTTTAGGTCATTGAGGTTATTTGCCGAGAGCTTTTGCGTTTCCTTGATGGCCGCTGGCTTCGCTCAGGGATTCACCCGAGACGTCTCTACATTTGAACGCGCGAAAGGAGTTCGTACAAATACCATCTAACAGTGTTTCTTTGCACTACACATACGACTTTTATGTAACAGGTTTTAAACTAGAATCTACTACCTATCCCACCTTAAAAAGTGAATTTAATGGCAAAGACTACGAAATAAAAATTAATATGAAAAAAGCTTTCAAGCATTTTCCTATCGTCCCTAAACTTATTACAAAGTTACAAGAAATCAATAATTATATCAAAGTAATTTCCACAGTAATAAAAAATACTTATAAGTAATCAAACTGTTCCTAATACAAAACACAAAGATATTTCTTGGACAGCGTGGAAAACATCAAACTTTTACGGCCAGCAAATCATCAAAGATTTATTGCACGAAAATAAGATTTTACTACGAATTATTACTCACTTTGAAGACATAAAATTCAGACGAAATGAATTAATTGAACAGTATATACTTTCACTTAAATAAGAATACTCCTAATATCATAATGCTGCTGGGTTTACGAGTCGGGAAAAGTATGTTGTAACATATAAAATCAAAATATAAACTCATTTTACACACATTTTAAATCTGTTCAAGTAATAATAAAAGTAAGCTCGGGTCTTCTTTGCAGCCTCTATATAAATAAGTCTCTTTATATATCAAAACAACCGCAAATAAATATTTCCATATAATTACAACCTTTTTACTTTTCTCTACTTTAAAAGGGGTTAGCTCAAAACTGCATGGCCTAGATTTAGGGATATTTAATTAAGATGGGTACAAGCTACTGCTACGATTCATAAACATATTACTTATCTACTACACTTGTTTTGCACAAACCCGATACTGTTGCCTAAATTGCTGCAAAGGTTTATCCAGTGCGTGAAAGGAATTGGATGATGTAACTGGCTTAAGTATCACACTATGTACATATGAAAGAAAATATAACAAAACGTAGGCGTTCATACCTTACTTGATGAATGAACGTGTTGTTTACATTTCGTGGTCTAATACGGACCTCAATTATATATTTGACTCAGCGGAGTAGGATAAGTCGAATTTAGTCTGTATTGTCTTATTACGTACGTGCTTATAATTCAAAGGTTGCTACGGAAATTATGTCGTACCTTCATAGAGCCTACAGTCCTTAAGGGCTATATTTCAATGTAAAGTAGTGGTAATGTAACCGGTTATTCAAGTAACGGGTGACCACTATGGATGTGCCCAATCACACACCGGGGACAGACGCTCGCAGTGCGGATTGCAAACGTGATAAATTGCATCGATATTGATTTCACTCTGTCCCGTGATGTCTTCATGACAAAGTTACTAGTGTTGGTTTAGTATTTCAGTTACTGCCGCGTTTACTTCGTCCTTCTCGCTACTACTAATTCTCAGTTGAAAAGTTTCGTTTCTATTAAGAACAATGATAGGTCTTAAATTATTTTAAACGACTTCTGTGAGAAGAGCGTTAAAATGATTTAGTAAGTGCTAGCTGTAAGAATGTCATAAGGCTCCGATATAATTCAGCGGCGTCGCGGCGCCTTCTATGGCCAATGTTTCATTCCAACACGCTTGACTTTTACAATTCGCGTGAGAATTTATGCAGCTGATAGGTAAACAATGTTTTCCTTTCATATCCACAACAACCGGTATCCTAGTAATAGCTGATGAGTTCATAATGCATTGTTCCACGAAGACGATTACAAGTTTCAACTTAGTATAAAACTATTTATTGAAAAGGCAAATAGAATTACGCTATAAACAATCCTTCGTCAGTCGCGCGTCCTGCGTCGCGGCTGTTAGCGCTACCGGTAAACATGTCCTAAGTCGGGTAAAGTGTTAATTTGTTTTCGGATAAGCCCAGTGAATAACAATGAACTCCCAGGTATGAATGGGATTATGTGAAACTAGAACATTACAGGTTCATTGTGAAAGAAATTTGATAAGGTCACCGATTCAAACATACAAATGTTTTACATTAAAATTTAAATCAAGTATGTACTTACAATTGACACTAAGATCAACAGATGCGTCGAGCTGCTGGCCTTCAGACATGGCTCGGTTCCACACAACACATCGGAAGACTGCTCCATCATCTTCCCTGGTCGGCATGAGGGTTAAAGTAGCGACAGTCGGCTCCGACCGTGTCTTGGCATGAACAATCGTCGCGTCCAAGGGATATGTTGAACCCTCGCGGTACCACCTGAAAAATTACTCTCATTAACATTTGTATGAGCACAATTTGTCACGCAGGTTGCCACGTTAAGTCTACCAACGTTTTTGCGTGTAACTGAGGCTTTTGTATGATTTCCTGGGTTTCGTAGCTACAAGCTTGATATTTGACTATGAGACTTTGACTTCAATTTTCATATTTATTATATGCAATTACGTTTTTAACCGTTGACGATATCAACAGATGTATTAAGCGTTAGACGCGTTATTTCATGTTTAATAAACAATCGCTGTATATTGTGAATAAATCCATACTAATCGCGAACCTTTAAATATCCTGCTTCCCCTAGAAACAGAGCATTAATACATTTTCTGTTTAAACTCGGTGCTTGAAGCTGCGGTTTCTCAAACAGCGATTAACGAAATAAATCTCTTTGTTCTATAATTGTGATAAATATTCCGTTTTAAATCAACGATTAAGTACAATTTCATTTCGAAAAGCAAATCATTAATAAATATTTACCGGCATATTTTATGATTGCTTGTGTTTACAAGAATTACAAGGTGGTTGCATTAAAATTAAGCGATAATTATGGTTGGTATGGTTAAATCGGGGTAATGCAATTGCTATATGCTCATAGAATGTGGTATTTTCGGAACGATATTAAATTAATTACGTGAGAATGATGCGGATACGTAAATACCTGTATTTATATATTCAGTTGGGTTACGCACATAAGTATAAAACCACGCATGTTTACTTTACAATTTAGATCCCACTCAGAATAGAATTTAAAATTTAAACAGGAAGGTGCCTAAGTTTCGTGTTTCACAAATGTTACTTCGCGTAATGTTGTACAGATATACGTAGGTATACATAAGTATTCTCTTATGATTTTGCGGTTTGTTAAACAGATTTAAATATCAACAAAAGTTTATAGAACTAATACGCGAGAAAAGTTACCTACACACTTCCATCTTTAACATTAACCTGTAGGTAGTTTCATTCGACTGTGTAGTAGTGAAACTAGATAAAATTGCAAATCTGTTCAGGATCCGATCACTCGATCACGAGGATACCTGACCTTATCATTCACATTAACATCCGCTCGACTACCGAGACTGTCCAACGATGTAATGAACAACATATGAATGCTGTATAACACACAATCTTTACACCACTAGAAAGTGCAATGTTTATAACTAGTTAGTGGTGTATATTTAGTTGACGCCACACTGTAATTCAGCTTGTACTACGTCGCACTATGTACGCGGTCCATGTACTATTTCAGAGTCCGTAACGAAGCCTCAACTTTTTGGGAAGCCGGGACAAGAACGAGTAACTCGTAGGTACAAAATATAAACTTTTAGCGACACTATTACATATTTTTTTATTGAAATAAAAGTTGATTTACAAACGCTCTTACGCTCTTTCTGTCTCGTGCATAAGCTACGATTGTTATTAGGCATTTTTATGTATATTGATTTTCTTTTGTTATAAAGTTTTGAAGTTAAAATGCCATTTTTTAATTTTTGACTTTAATCGCAAACACAGTAAAGTTTCACTCTAGATTTGTAGTTAATGAGACACCATTTTGACAAAGAGAACATTATCAGCTAATGCAGTGAGACCAAACTGCTTATTTTATACCTATTTATCTGTCACCCTGATATATTTTCTGTACTCGATTCAATCTCGGTTGCTCGTAACTGCCATACCAATTAAAACAACTAAAAATACTCGCAACAAACTCATGCTGCAGTTGAAAGTTATTCCTCGCTCACAGCACCGTCTCATAGTTCATGTATCCGGGACACATATCCGGTTAAACGTAGTACCACCGAGTTTTTGTGACGTGTATCCAGAACACCTAGTTTTCATCCGGCCGAGATGCCGACCTTTTTATGCAAAGTAGTGCTAGCTCCGCGACAACGACGAGCCGCCCTCATATGACATCATTTTCGAATATCCCCACTAACCCTGGCTTACTGCACCGCTTCAATTTCATTATTTGTACCGGCGTGTAATGTGTGCCGGCAACGGTCATTTCGACAACTGGCTGCCCACCGGCCGGCGACTGCCATACCCAGCATTTCCACCCCGGCTCTAATTGAATCCGAGTCACTGCCTACATGAAATTTATCACCACATTTATCAGCTTTTTATCTCACCCGTACGCCGTTCTTAATGCGTTAGGTAAAAGCCAATTACGGCTTGGTACGAAAACGTACAAAGTGTAGGGAGGATTAGTAGGGCCCGAACACTTGTATAGAGCCGGGTCAAGTTTTACGCAATTTGTACAAATCACAAGTACGAGTGTGGGAGTATTGTCTTACAACGTTATATTTAAAACTCGCAAAGATAACCCGTGTTTTGCCTGAAGCTTACTACCCATAATTCCATTGTTCTCGGGGAAATGTCAATGAATAATTAAAGTCGGAGGGAATATTATGACGAATATAATTAGCCTGCAGTGCTCGTACGGCTTACATAAATGACTTTTATTTCTCTGAGGCTTTAGCAATATGTCAAATTAATTATTCCTTTATGTGAGCTACTTCCTATAATTTACAACGAATGCGTAAATAAGTCTGGCGTGCATTTACTGCAAGACGGCGTACTGTGGTAAATTCTCTACCCAGCGGTAAACTAAAGCAATTCACGCGAGAGTGCAAAGACATCGTAAGTAACATTTGCCAGAATTAAACCGTAAGCAAGATTTATTTGAATCAAAATCATTTACGAGCGAGATAACAAGCAACTTGAAGAATCTTACAAAGTCACACGTGTTATCTAGCAATTACAATTAGATGTTTAATTTGTTACTTTATGCTTATGTCACGACAAAGTTTAAAACTGACAAGCCTACACATCACCAGTATATGCTGCGCGTCTCACGCCGTTCATTTGAACTCACAAATTGTTTTTCCACATAGATATTACAATTTTGTGGAGAGGTACTTTGAAACTTTACAAAGTTAAATTTAAATTGGTGGATTTCGATGGAATGTTTTGGGAGAGCTGTAATTTGCTGTATTCCCATATTTCATTAGCGTTCTAAATGTGAGTGTGACATTCATTTTATATGGAAAATATCAATAAATGATCGTCCTAAGCACGCGAGAGTTAAACTCTTGGCATTTCGTGGAGCTCTGAATACAAACTATACTTACTTGATGGTAGGCTCGGGTGAGCCGCCCGAGCTGGAGCAGGAGAGGTTGAGTTCCCTGCCCTCCTGGGACTGCGCGTGGGAGCCCGGCGTGAGCACGGGCGCACGCGGGCTGGTCAGCACCGTGAGCGCGTGCCCCTGCGCGTGCAGCGTGCGCCCCGACCCACCAGCCTTCACGCGACACTCGAACCGGCCATTGTCCCTCTCGTAAGAGACGTTCGCCACCATCAGGTCAAAACGACCCTCCGTCGGCGCGTACGAAATTCTGTAACAATACACATTTTCTTTTTTAATTTCAAAGAACACCCCATTCCAATCCCTAATGGGTTCGCTCATTATTTCCCAGGATCGACAGATTCCTGTACGATCCTACAAAGAACAAAAGCTTGAGCAAAACGTGAATGTGTTCCCTCGAGATCTTCACGCTTAAGCAACGAGGCCGTCGACTCTTCAGACTGCTTGTAAAATATTTGTAAGTCATTTGTTAACAGACACACACATACACCACAGCGAACTAAGTTCTTGTATAGTTCGGATTTGTTGTTTAATCTTTTGCTTTTAATAGAGTACCTACGTCGGGGAAACAGATTTTAAAACTATTTTCCTAGCGAAAAGCGGATTTAAGTCGGGACCCTGTAGCGCTCAGCGTTTGAAAGGATGCTAATCGTGTGTATAATATAATATGTACACATACAGATAACTCGTTAGAGAAATGACACAAAGGAATTTTACGTAATTCCCTCTTAGTGGTGACAAGGCCCAACATGTTTGTACGTACAGGGTACACAGCGTTAATATTATTGTGGTTGTTCTCGGGGCGCTCAAAAATATTTCCTATTTTAGCTTATTACAACGAGATAGCAGTGACAACTATATTCCATTTGCATTATTGGATTATATATACCTATTTCGAAAAGCAATCCTACTTGAGTCGCTACTGTGACCGGAAAAATACACATTTATCAAAGGGAGCAGTTTTGTATAGAAATAATAATTCGACATTTTATATATTTTATCAAGCTTTCAGGTTATTGAGGTGTCTGAAGAGAGATTATTATATTCTTAGTAAACTGGGACAGGTATTTTTATATTAGCTACGAAACGGTTGAATAAAATAGTAGTTCAGACCATTGCTGTAATTTCAGTGAAATATTGACAGCGCAAAGAGTCCTAATTAGTGGAGCTAGAATATTGTATTGACGATAACGTCCGGCTTACGAGTGTAACACAAATACAAAGACAATATTCCGAGGAATAAAGTCGATTATCTTTTTATAAGTAACACAGACAAGGCACATAGTGATTACTGTGCCATAAATCATATTATTGTCGAAGGGAACCTCATAAACGTATGTTCTGTGGATTCGGAAATAACTTCATCAATAAGAAATAAAGTAGGTTATCCATAAAATGTAGGCGTTTTTAATGAAAATTGCTTTTTCTGAACCCTTGGTGTTAAGCCGGGGAAGATAACGATATCTTTAAATTATCATTCATATCATCGGTTCTTAATAGCTTGCGATTTTGTTTTAAAATATTATTTCTGCATTTTTATATAACAAATTATAGCTTGCTCAAAAGAGATAATAAATTGATGGTGGATTTAATACGACGGCCGACATTCGTAAAATTTTTGGTACATTGTATTCGTTTGATTTGAATATTGATTGACTTTTTGCTAAATTAAATACAAACAAACCAGGTTGTTGCTTCATCAGCATCATTTATTAGCACTGTGCAAATTATTAAAAATATTAATTCGTTAGGTAATAATTATGTATATATACTACTCGATATTTCTTGCAATGTTAACATTTCTTCAAGTTAGATTGCAACTACGTAGGTACAATTTGAACGAAAAAAATAAAGGAACAAGAATATTGTGTACACATTAATTAAGCCGAAAGAGAAACGTGTATTTTTTACCGTTGCCTACTTAGAGGGCCGTAGTATCACATGACTTTTCTTACTGAAAAAAATACCGCTACAGGGAATTACGTTTACCTCGTCTGACATGCCATCAGTGTGTGATAATTTAATTTTTATCCTCGAAACCCCCCTCTCTCGGGTCTACCAATTTATATATACGTATCTACATGGAGTTAGGTATCATTTTATCGCCGAGGGATCTTTCCAATGTACAGTTTAAAGGCTGTCGCTTGCTGTAATGTACGCCCCGAAGAACGATATTTGGACGAGGAATTTATCTTCCTCGCATTAGGCGATGTCGTATCGCATTCAATGTAGCTACTCGTGCATGAAATTAAGTAAATGTATTTCTCTTATTTTCGGTTTTAGATGTCTTACTATACAAATGAATTTCACCTTAAACATATTCTATTTCTGTACGGGTATGAGTGGGGCTTGTGCCAGACGTTTAAAATTGCCTTATTTAAAATTTCCTCTAGCCCAACCAACCCGCTCTCTTGCGGCAGGTCCAATTATAATAAAAATTATAATACTTTTTAGATAACTTTTAATCCCCAATAATTTACTTACTTCGAAGAGTTATAGCCTTGTGGCGGTATTATTTCGAACCAACTGCGTGTTTAGCACGCAAACTCTTTGTACTTTTTCATGAATATTAATTATTTTATAAGGGTTGGCAGATGTCCGATATTTACCCAAGAGATCGGTACTTATTTGAATTTCTTGTTGGGGTTAAAATAAAAAAGGGTTTCATAGAAAGCGTGCAGCGTTTGGCAGAATATCATGAGTAACTAGATAAGATATTGGCACGTAAGTACAATATGCATCGTGACACATTTAACCTTTGGTCCTAGATATACAATAATATTGCCAAAGCCGCTTTATTCCGAGGTGAAAATTATGTTTTGTGTGCGAACTCAAACAACGTGTGTTTGCAATACAGAGCGGCTGTGTGTTTTTGTGGACCTTAGCTTAAAGAAAATGGAATTTCTTTTTGTCCGAGTGGGTAAGACCCGGCGCGGCGTCGTGCAGCCAAATGAAATTTTCTAGATACTTTTGTGGGTAATCGAATGTTGGCGAACTTACTGGTAATTGGTCTCGAGCGGTATGTTGCCGATGGCAACATTGTCGTGGCCGCTGGCTGTACTCCTGACCCAGTAGTAGGTGAGTGACTCCCCGGCGAGCGGCTCCAGAGCGAAGCGACACTGCATGGTGACGTCATCACCTTCCCGCGCGTCATGCTGCTCGTCATCACCTCGCACCGTGCACCCGACTGGAACAAAAGAAGCACAAAATTAACAAAGTGTATGCGTTAGAGAAAATACTGGCAATGCCCTACCATAGCCTCGTCTTTTCCTTTAACTATAAGAAGTTTGCGAACTTGTCTGCTTTTTTAAATTTACTATTCGTCAGCGAAGAAAGATGGCAAACATTTGCCGCAGTTTTTCATATAAGAAACTTTAAAATATTTTAATAATAAATGCTTCATATGCTAGTTACGTTCGTAAAACTAGAACACAGAATTTTCAGGGTATTTTTGTAAGGCAGATTATTTCTTCAATGAACTTTAACGTCCGTCACGTACTAGACTGCGGCAATCACGTCCATAATAAATCCAGTCATTTTGAACGGTAATGCCAATAAGAGGGTCAGACGATAATCTCTGTTTTGCATCGCTTTCTTTCCAAGTGATCGTTTCTATTCTTGTGTTATCGATTGAAAGTAACAACTTCCGTAGGACGTCATTGTATAGCTTATATAATATTGTAGAAATGCACTCAGTATAATTTCGTAATGTGCAATGCATTTAAATTCGCTCGCTGCAGGCTTTCCGAGTCTAAACAAAGAGCAAACTAATCATCGAACTATCACTTCAGCAATCTATTCAGCGCGTTTGCTCAATTGTATGAACTTTGGGTGCAAATTTCAACTTGAATTAACTTTAGGCCCGGAGAATGTGTCTTATTTTAAAATGTGCATAGAGCAAAGATTCTTTTCGGAAATGTTTCACAGCTACCTACCAAAAGCTACCGGATTTTTATTTATAGATTTCGAAATTGACCAAAACTCTCAAATCTTTCCTTCCCAGAAATTGTCAATGAGAATAAATTTCTTAATATTGCAAAAACAAAAATGGACTTCTTCTAAGTAAATCGCCTCTTTTTCGCTTTCATTTATTTACTAAGAGACGCATTTGGCTTAGTTTTATTTGGAATTCTTAAGTGTATTTATATCGAAATGATATTTTTGATTTTAAAAGCCATTATATAAAAAAGATGTAGTAGGTACTGAATTTTGAGCGATTATATGAAAGATGATCTCGTGTGGCTGAATCAGCGTAATACCTCCTTCTAATCTTTAAGACAAAGACAAGAAAAACAACAAAAATAGTGAACATATGTACATATATGTATGTGTATATCTTATCTGATCATTAATATCCTCTGCAGACGTCTCCGTCCCTTAATTATTAAGTAAACCAATTATGTGGCTAGGGGTGAACTGCGAATTCAGGAAGAGTCTCTCTAATACACCCAAGTCTATTAATATAGATAAAAAGGTCACAGGTATTATTATATGTACATACTCGTATGGGTGTACAATTAAATCAGCTTCACTTAATACTGTTAATTAGAGGCTTAATAAAATATGTGAGAGAAAACGTACTTCTATATTTCGCGTAGTACTTTTTTCCAAATATGAAACTATTTCACAAGTTTTTTTACTAATAATATACTATGAGTGTAGCATTACTCATCTCAAATTCATTCCATTGAATAAATGTTCTTAGAATTACGTTCTAATCGATGTTTCTCAGTATGAATGGAATAACTTTAATGTCAAAGGTGAAATCTCTGCGTTGGCGTTAATAACACATTATTCTAGATTTTTTACATCTCTTCAATGTATCTAAGAAGCTCTTGTCCTCATTTACCTCAAAAACACCCATACATACTAACAATACTTATATTTCGAAAATTAGAATGACTTAACGTGTTTTTTTCTCACACTGGTTTCTCTTTTTCTATCGCCACAACAGGATTGATACCATCTCTTTCACTCTTATGACACAACTTTATATTGCCGTCTCTCTCACGCGTCCATCTAAACGGTTTTACTTAAGGTTGTCACCGTTGAAAGTTACATTTCCACATTTAAAATAAACGGACGTTTTGCATTTAGTCGATAACTAGTATTTAATGTTTACACATACATTCATAACTTCTTTTGAAGTAGGTATGAAGGAAGTAATTTGGTTATGAGAAACCACTGTGAAATCACAGAGAGATCTTAAAGGTCTTGTGTTAACATTAAAAGAGAGAGTCTATGGCATCATTGATCGTGACGCATATTTTCCTTCTTCGTTCTTGGAAGTTATTAACCAAGGTGGGTATTTTGCCATCCTTAGGCTGACACCCATTCGTAGAAGCAGCAACGGCGCTGGCGCGGGCGCAGCGCAGCGATGGCGGCGGTCAATGACACGAGGTCGCGTGCGCTCGCGCCGCTGCCTGCTACCGGAGCTTCGAACCGGAGCCACTAGACCCTAACACGCGCCCGACTCCTCGACACCACCCACATTATCACCTTCATGTTACTATAACGTAAACGTTAACTTATAATTAACATAGTTTAACCGGACAACCGTAAACAAACTTTAAAAATAGTTAGTTGACATTACTCGTACGGTACATTCTGGGTTCATATGGACGTCAGAATGGTAATGCGGTAAAAGCCTTAATGCTCATCCTCGCGCACATAATAAAATAAATCATCATATTATATTATTATTAGATTGCGTACATAACTATAAATATAACATAAAAGCCCGATGGAAAAGACAGGAGTAGTTTGTTAGCTAAACGACAAACAAATGTAATGTTAGTCACATTACACGCAAAATGGGATTTGCGAAACAAAATATACAACGTCAGTGATCCCTACTCAAAGCAACAAGTTCGTAATAACATTATTAATATAATATAATAATCTTAATTATGTGTATTGAAGATTTGTGTCCTCAGTCGTAGGCCTCGTGGTAGATATTTGTGCTGACTCGGTTGTTGTTTGAGTAATAAATGACACGGATTATCAAACATGGCTCACGCTCGATCACGTCATTCCGTATTCGTTTCCTTAAGTTTAAGTTAGTAGAGATAACTTTTAGATTGATAGTGTAGTGCGAAGTGGTACTGAACTGGAATATAGCTTCATAGAGACATTGTTACTACTTATTTTTTCGCTTCTTTAATTGTATTGCAGACCATGACTTAAATAGTGGTCGGGCTTTCGGTTGGAATATGCTGAATAATAATATGCAAACAAACATACGCATTTCTGTTAGAAGTATATATAGGTACAACCAACCTCAACAGGCCAAGTCCAATCTAAACTTTACAGACGCGAATTTTAGAACTAACTTTATCTAAATGCAAGTCTAGACCAGAAACATGAAACAGACAAAAAGAACCATATTTGAATCGAGCTTAACTGAAATATAATTACATTTTTACAGTTAAGTTTCGATAGGTTATTTTATTATGTGTCTTTTAGGGACCCGCTGTACAGCAACGATGAAGTTGAGAGAGAAAAAGAGACAGATTTTCACCTGAAGTACTTTGTTAAATAATACTATACTATATATTCTATACTAGCTACTCTCGCGCGGTTTCACCCGCTGCTCGACTCCATTTGATCGTAGCGTAATGTTTTATAGCCTATAGAACTCAGGAATATTGTAGCTATTTATCAGTGAAAGAACTTTGCGGTCCCAAAGATTACCGCCCTACATATAAACTTACAAATTTTACCTCTTTATAATATTAGTATAGATTTCAAAAAATAGTACTCCATGTTACATTAACTTTTCCGGGTTGATATTTCCAGGGGTTTTCGTGTAACTTGATTAATCGAGGAGATCGTTAGGGTTATTGAGGCTCATTATAGGTATTAAGGTCCAAGCGCGTAGCGTTCCGTGCGCGCATCAGGGCCAATAGAGCACCACAGACAGGGCCTAGCAGGGCCGATGTTCAGCAGGTGCAAGCGCAATAAGGTATCAAGGTTCCAGCCTGGAGAAGGAGAAGAAACAGGGTAGTTTTTGGTCAGTAAGAGTCTGACACTCCCTCTCGCCTCACCCTGGGCGAGAGAAGAGGTATGATGAATTTACTCCATCAAAAATAAGGTATTAAGGAAGTACTTTATTTTGATTGTGAGAAACAACTGTGACGTCACTGAGAGATCTTAAAGGTCACACTGTACATACTGCAGTGTGTGCGTATAAAGATCTAAAATAATCCGTTTTGAATTTCGATACAACAAAGAAAATAATCATATATGAATGAGTGTATATATGTGTGTATTTATGTTACCTGAAAACCTTGTTTTCTTACTTGACCCCTTCCTTAATTGAGTTTTCATTAAGCCGGGCCTAGTTTTAATTCACTCTCTTGCGAAGAAACCGTTAAGTTATACATGAGTTATTTCACAAGAACCTCAAGTTTCCTGCTAACGGAAAATTAAATGAGTGTTAAAGAGCTTTGTTTGTTTCAGTGTTATAGGCAATATAGCTCGATTGCTCGGGAAATTGTTTTGCTTAGTACCTACTCTTACCCCTTACCGATGATTTATACTGATCATTAAAAAACTTCTTAGAAGTAATTCTACCTTAAATTTTTCGAATGTACTTTTATTTATTTGATAAGAAGGAGGAAAAATTCTCGTAACTCGAAAAGGATTTCTACGAACAATGAAAGAAATTGTCACCTTTGTCATCGTAATAACATGTTCCACATACACTCAGCTCAGTAACAGACATAACTGTTCACACACACACACATGCGCACACCTTACATAATATTTACATCGAATATACCAATAATATTACAAAAAACAGCAGTAGGTACACGCGAATAACCTCCATTTCGTAAAGGAAATTATTCACAGCAATTCTTTCCACTATTGTACAATCTATGATATATGGTAAGAAATCGTGAAATAATTACACAACTGTATGTATTTTTATTGCAATTGGCAGTTATATAATTAATAGCTTCTTATTCGTGAAAATGTACCGGTATTAAAATTTTCCGTGAAGGGACAGCGATCACGGACATAAGGACATTTTCTGGGTAATTTTTAATCTATAGGATCACAGTAAATTGGGCCCTCCTGAACAATTTCCTAATGTAAAAACGTTAACGAGTAAAAAAGCTATACTTCTCAAACTGATTTCATCTTTACTACCAACGAAATAATGATCAAATTGTGTTAATGTAT